CAAAGACAAGGTGAACTGTTCACAGAAATTTAGTTATTTCATATAATGAAAATAATGAAAACTGACGTATTTTACTCAAATAGTAAAATGATGAATTGATTGGACAGATATCATACAAAAATATTTGTACATTTCTAAAACACCGGGTATAACAAAAACCCCAAAATTAGCCCACGCCTGAAAGATTACATTCATGAAGTAACACAGAACACTCCCGTCAATATTACACTTGGCTACCAGTCACATTGGTCAATAAAGCAAGCATCATTATAGGTAGTCACCGGCAACTATTCAATTCCTTGGTCGTTCGAGCAATCATTGCCCACCAATACGGTCAGCAACGCCCAATCACCTGCTGCTAGACCAGCAACACTGTTCACTCAGCTTTACGGCCATAGTACACAATTAATTTTACTATATGGTCTCTACATTTGTTCCTCAGTACTGAACTTTCCACTGTGTGACAATCAATACAAATCACATGTTAATCTAAAATACCTTCAAAGATGACTTTACGGTTTAGTTCTTGTCAAGGGTTGACCTGCATTCTTTTGAGAGGCTGAATTGTAAACAAAACACCAGGCAACGGAACACAGATTTCACTTCCGGATCATCACCATGACCTTATTACTCAATGTGCACTGTCGCCGAAATACACACAGACAACCACACCATAAGATCACATTTTAAAGAATAATCAATTGCCTTTAAATCCTTACCAAGAATGCCAAAATCTAACTCTAGTATCACCACCAAATTTAGACCTGAAAAAGTGATCTAAAAATAGACTGGGACTACATTCGTGGGTACTGAACCGGATTTTATTAATTGTGTACTGATTCCTTACGGCGTCTGTGGTAAATTTCTATGGCTGGCTCTATAGTTGGTACCACAATGACTACGATCACCATGGATCACTCTGATCAGCTGAAAATACATCTAACACCGTGTACTATGCATGCACGGGTATATATGATGATACGTAATGCCGTTATATATGGTAAGTTATGCAAATTACATTAATGGCACAACATTACAAAACAAAATTATAGGTCCAGAAGGGAACCTACCCGTGTCCGATAAGATTCCTAATATACTAAATGTATCTTGATAAAATTCTACTTTATATTGCTAATATAAATATCTTGCTAAGTCACAAACTAGGATGTGTTATACTACATGTGTTATACTACGCAAGCCAAAGCTACTTTGAAAACATACAAAAATAAACGTGACAGTACGATAGATACAACTTACAATATACATAAGAAATAATACATAAGAAATTAACAAATAACTTACATACCTATACAGCTGAAGATGTGCAAGTCCCTAAGTGTTATTGGTGTGGCCCCTCTCAGACTTGTCATTATAAAGGAGACCTCCTAGTTCCGATATTTAAAGGATGTTTGTTTTTCTGTTTTATTAATATGTGCGTGTTACTTGTATTTATAGAATTTCGTTTTTATTAATTTTTGTTTTAAGGTATATACACCATTTTTCCTATTATATTGTAAGATACTTCTCAACCCGGACTGGTCTTGGAGTTAATTTATTTTAAGTGACCATTTCCAGTGATTAGTATTGTCCATAACTGCTATATGTGTGTGCTAATATGTATGTTATATTGTGTTAATTTTTGGACTAGCTTATGGTCAAATCTTTAAGGTGTTATTTAATCTTTTTCTGATTCAGTTTAAGATTAAGAAATTCATTTGGACATATTTGTCTTTCCTTTATTTCTCGGTCTTGTAGAATCTTTATATTTTAGTGTCTCATGGAATTTAGAAAGACGGTTAAGAGAAAATAGAATGTAATGGATGCTGTGTGTTATATTTATGTGCAAGTGTTTATGTTTTCGTGATGTTCTTGTTCGGCTCTCTTTGTCGATTCGGGGCGAGCCGTACTACCACAACCGAGTCGCGTAGCTTTAGCCGAGCACCTTAGAATCCCCTTGGTAGCCTTCTCAATGTTTGTTGTTTTTTTTTTTTTTTGGTTGCAATAAGTGTAAAGATTCCACGGATATACTAATGTAAACAAAGACTTAAATTCAAACCAAATATCTAAATTTATTCTTTACTTCATTATTGTTTTTATATAGTCAAAAAATTCTTTATAAATTACGTTATCATTAATTTTATCAGTCTATAAAAGTTGCTTATCATTTAATTTTATAATTTTATTTCTTAGTAACTGTTTTTCCTGTTTAGCCTTAGTACAAAATAGTATCATGTGGCTGTTTGAATCTATAAATTTTCCGCACAACCTACATTTAGATATATAAAATGCTAAGTGCCTTTTTAAAGGTTAACTCCCATATTTACCATTTGACTTGCAGGTACAGGAACAGCATACTTTGTATCACAACCGATCCTGTACCAGTCCAGTTTTCCAAATAGTCGTCCAGTCTAGCTGAGGGTGTTTGAATTATATTTCTTGTTTGTCACTTAATGTTGCATTTAATCAAGTAACATAAGTATCATTCTTTAAATCTCAAATTCCTTGGTTATCTCTTTATACGTATAGCATATTCTTTATTCTCCTATATGTTCCCGAATGTTTTAAGAGTTTACTCATTTTGTTATTTTTGTATATATCCTTATTAAATCTACATAAATATCCGAAATTATAAATATATATATAGCTTAAGTATACTGCTCACTGTGAAGATATGTGTACGGTGAGGCATTTATATACAGACGATGTAGCCGTGCTAGATATCAATTGGTTTTTCCCATCGATAGCACTTCGCACGTGCGGCGGAAATGACCGAACTCACTATTTCGAATTATTGCACAATAGACATAAATCACAAAATCGGGTATTTTTGTACATAAGAAAACCCAAGTACACGTATTTAATAAATAAATAGATTTATACAATTTCGTGATAGATTATATGATGAAAATTGTTTAATCTGTATAACAGAACGGTCAATTGCATTTCGCATAAATTTTGCAATTATATGTACAAGGAAAAGTGTATCATTCAAATGTCATGATCAATTTCATTTTGTCTGTGTAATCGATTAAATTTGTGTTATATTTTACATGAATGGGGTAGAGTTGTTCTATGCTAAAACTAAGTAACAGAATGAAGCAAAAACAAACAAGTTTTTTTTTTTTTTTAAAAAAATCCTAACAAATAATTTAATGATCAAAATTATGAATGAAAATGTGAGAGGAACTCAGAATATCATGAAATCATTTCCCAAAAATCTTGATAAAGTTCTATGAAAGTTCAAAGGAATGACAAGTTCCGTATAAATTTTAATGCCGGAAATGTACTGATCTGCCAATAATCTTAACGTCGCCATGGCGTTGTCGAGAACTTCTTTGAATAATTCACAATACTTCCGGAATAGTCTAAATAATGAGCACTTTCTATTTCCACTGAACAGTCCTAATAAATATTTCCCTTTCGATTAATATTCAAGTGCAACATAAAACACGCCTGCAGATTACAATAGGAACATAAGAAATAAGAATGATTCCAAAATGGGATTGAATCTGATTGCTCAGTTCTCTCCTGATACACACCTTCTATTACGACAATGTCATAGAGTACTCCACATGACAGATCTTAGTGTTCATGTGGCTTAGTCCAACCTATGGGAAATTACCCAATTCTTCTAGAAATGTCCAGACCTAACGGGCCAATGAGAAATTAACCTAAAGTCGTCATCAAGTCTTATTGTTAATATTATTGTTATTATTAATAGTAAATTGTCAACACATACATCAGCGTCTGTTAATTGATCCTTTTAATTTTACGCTCTAAAACAGACCCTAGTCACTTAGGCAAACCGAAAGCCACGGTTGTGGTATGCTAACAATATCTATAACTAGGCGGATCGAGCAATTATTTGATCTCTTTGTCCTAGCGACATGTATTGAGTTTCATGAGTTTCCTCTCTTAGTATGTAATGCCAACTAATCAATAGCGTGTAATAGCAGAGTATTGTATAGCGATGCAAAAAAGCATAGGCAATTAACTTCAAAAAGGATGGTATGTAAGTTTAACAGTGAAAGTATGATTACATACCAGAGAAAAGTCATTACAGGTATATTAGAGTAAAAGGTATTTGTACAAACAAAAACTTGCATTAGAAAAGTGCTTATTTATGGGTCCATTCAAATGGTGTGCTCCCTTTGTCTTTGCCATGTAAAGCAGTGTTCAATTTGAACATTTTAATATTTATTGGATGAAGTGGTTTGCCGGCGCATCCACTGACACAGATCGGAGGCACATAAATATCTTCTCGATCCGCCACGTTGTAAAATACGCATAGTCCTGAAGGTATTGGGTCAAGTTAGCCATATCGCGAGATAATGTGTTTGAATAAAATCAATGAAATGACATTAATCCTTCAGAAAGAGCAGAGCTATTTTAAGTGAAACGTGGAATTGCTGATATAGCCTTAAAAACAAAAACAATGAGGGAGGTATGAGTCGCTAAGGTGTAGAATTTAATCGCAACTTATGAATTTAAATTGAATTCATGCAGTTGATGTCTTTTTCATATATGTAGCATAGTAACAGGTTTATCTCGAAAACACTCAAAAAGACATAAAAAAAATATCTCATATTTGAAAAATGATGCAGATAGGGACATTTCTAAGACTAAGGATTACGCAGAAAGCGAAAGTACTCCCACCCACCCGAACAATAAAGAATGGCTTGACTACTAAATTGGATTGGTTCCTAAAGAAAATACACTAAAAGTTTCCAACCTTTCCGCACCCCACCCCAAACCACTCATATCTAAATGATTAAATTGATACAAAAATTTTACAAATTCAAGTTCTGTTTAAAAGGTGACACGTGCAATAAAGAAAATTTTCATTTTGTCTATAGATTGGTGGTTAGTTGATCCCATGAAAGTGACTTAATAAGACAAGAGTTAGTTGACTTCCCTGCTTTAGCACTAACGTTTGGTGGTTAGTTGATTCTAGGAAAGTTACTTAATAAGACAAGATATTGTTGTCTCACCTGACTACCGCTATGATGGCCTAGTGATTAGAGCGTCCGCTTCAGATGCCAAAGGTCGCGGGTTCGAACCCAGGCCAAGTCATGCCAAAGACTTATAAAAATGGTACTTGCAGCTGCCTCGCCAGGCGCTTAGAATTAGCAGGCTGGTATTTGGATTGGTCGGCCTGATGTCAGGATAATGCGGACATCGTAGCGATATGACCAAAAAATTGTTAAAGTCCCGTTAAAAATCCAAATCACACACACTCACACACATATACACACACACAAAAAAAGAGTCTCGCTCACCTTATCATGATTATACATAGTACTCATTTTTCCGGTGATGAAGGTAACATTTGCCTGCGTGGGTTTGTTTGGATTTGCATGTCAAAACAAAGAACTCAGTTGAAATGCTGGGTTCCGTGGAACATTGTTTTCACGAAGTAACTTTCTTAAGTAGTTCGACTGAATTTTGAATGGAGCGTCATCCTGTGTTAAATATCTTTTAATTCGTACATAAGACTTTTTCCCATGAAACTGGTGCCGACATCCAATAATTTCGTCACACTAAAATATGTCTAGTTTGTCATAAAGGTGCCCATCTAATCTCTATGAACTCTTGTGATTCATAGTTGGTCCTAAATGAAAATGGCACCAATCGTAAATCTAATATGGCGGCATAGAGGGCTGTCAGACCGTCCTAAAAATCTTGCAGTCAGCATTCTCTTGAATGGATCGTGTGATTTTCCCCAAACGACTATGGTGACAGGGGATAGTTTCATGCATTGACTACTGTAAAATTCTTAACTTAAAGCTATAGTGTGGATTTCTTCAGTTATATTGTTGAATAATTAATAACAGGGATACACATGTGAATTAGGTGTTTCGGGCTTGTGTTGTTCTTAAAATTAATGTAAGGCATGTACACTTCTCATAGTTACATGCAGTATGTAGACAGTGCAATACCAAAAATCGGCTAGGAAGCAGAGCTAGCCATCCGTGGCAGTAGGATCAGGTCACAATTAATTTAACTATATATTCTCGACCTTTGTTTCTCAGTACCAACTTTCCATTATATCCAAATGATAATAAAATCATATTTTATCCTAAAGTACTTCCAAAGATGAACTCACGGTAAACTTCTTGTCATAGGTCATTTTTGCGACGGGCAGGACTATAAACAACGCACCGTACCTTGGGCCACATATTTCGCAGACGATGTGCATCAGTGCCTACTTACTCACTGTGTACTGTCGCCTAAATACACATAGACAACCACACCATAATGCTAAGATTCTACAGAATAAAACAAAATACATTTAAATTAACACCAAGAACGCCTACGAGAGAGAGAGAGAGAGAGAGAGAGAGAGAGAGAGAGAGAGAGAGAGAGAGAGAGAGAGAGAGAGAGAGAGAGAGAGATGCACTAACAAAGAGACTGGGGCTACTACATTCGAGTGTAATGCACCGGAAGTAATAATTATGATTTGATGTCATTAGACACGTGGATTCAAGGCAATTTGATAACGGCCTGGATAGCAACTGTATTTAAATTTCATCAAGGTTATTTATATCAAGGTTATTTGCTAAACAATATTTTGTTTCTTTGTTTTTTGCTTTAAATTACAGCCAAAGAAAAAAGGGCTCATATTTGCACCGTGAGAATCACTTAGGGATAAAAATGACATTTGGACGTGAAAAATACAAATATAAATTTGGGGTTGGGTGCGTTAATTTCTTTTTTTGTCATGAACTGACATTGACTTTACAGGTCAAGTGAAAAATATTGGTTTGCTTTGGTTTATTATAAGTATTCAAAAAATTGACATTTTTGACCTCATTTGCATATTTTATCTTTGATGGATTTTAATATTACACAGGTTGATGCGGTATAAAAACTGTCCCTTCTTCTTAAATGAAAATGGTAGCAGCCTGACCTACAATATGTCCACCAAAAGCAGTTAATTTGAAAATATCGTTGTTGATGGGTAATATCAGAGATGACTATGACTACAACACTAATGATACCAAAGGATGTTATCATCTTATCGTGATTTCCTGGTAATTCCTTTTGCTTGTTAGAGCAGCAGTTCCCTCGAGGGACTCTTGTTTGTTGTTATTAACGGCACTTTTAACACATTATTTGCTATACCATGTCAAGTAAGCAAAAGCCAAGCGCCCTATCCAAGCGTAAGCTGTAGCAGACGACCCGAGCTGGTCTGAGCGGGTATCGAATTACAAATTTGACGTTCTAAATTCCACGGCTCTCTAACTACTAAGAATGATTTCCAAAGTCAAAGAGTACATACATACGACACTTTACCGTACCTTCGTTTCAAACTTTTACAAAGAAACGCAATTTTCCAAAGTTTGCAAACAAAAAGGTTGCGAAGAGTTTCAAACAGCTTAAACTCGTCTTAGATGTTTTTCTCTCTTGCTTTGTATCTCTCAATTCACGGAGGAAAGTAAGGAATGATAAATGAGACATTATGTTTCGATTTCAACGCCTGTTAGTTACAAATATAATTTATTCCTGCAGTGTACAAGACATAAGTATTAAATCATGTGTTACTGGGGTAAAACACTAAGAATGAGGATTGGTTTTTATATTTTATTTTTGTTTTAATTTACAATTTTATTGTTACAAAAGCTTAAGCCATGTTTGCAGCATGTGCTTTTGAATTATGGTAATTCTACTATGCTAATTTAAGTCTTATAATATATTGAACTTTTTCAATTAATGTATCCCATGTCCATTTTAAAGCTGTACTCAGAAATTTGAAATGAATTGTTCTAACTGAACTGAATTGGGGTCAACGTATCATCTAGGTCCCACAGTAGAAATCAAGGAACCATGCACAATTTGAGAATTTAAAGAGTAAAGCGCTCTGAAGATCCCGAATTTTAGAAAATTGCAAGGTATATCTGGCATGAACCTATAGCTTTCTAGGAACGGGACAAATATTCGAAAATAAATATTCCCGTACAAACACAAGAGCAGATATATTTTTGTTCTTATATGCTTTCGTGAATCTGCTGACTGAGATTTGAATTATAATGGCCGATGCATGATTCTGCACGTCGTAAGGGTCGACTAACGAAAACACCCTGTATACATATATATGACTGTATTTTCAAAAATTCGTTCTTTCACATACATACATACATACATACATACATACATACATACATACATACATACATACATACATACATACATACATACATACATACATACATACATACATACATACATACACACACACACACACACACACACACATACATACATACATACATACATACATACATACATACATACATACATACATACATACATACATACATACATACATACATACATACATACATGTGGTTCAGGTGGCGCTGGCGGTTATTTTCTGACTAACGAAAACACCCTGTATACATATATATGACTGTATTTTCAAAAATTCGTTCTTTCACATACATACATACATACATACATACATACATACATACATACATACATACATACATACATACATACATACATACATACATACATACATACATACATACATACATACACACACACACACACACACACACACATACATACATACATACATACACACACACACACACACACACATACATACATACATACATACATACATACATACATACATACATACATACATACATACATACATACATACATACATACATACATACATACATACATACATACATGTGGTTCAGGTGGCGCTGGCGGTTATTTTCTGATTATTCATGCACGAATAACAAACCTTTTTGCTGGAAGCAAATATACGAATATCTTTTTAAAAATCCCCAAATCGAACGTTGCAAAGATCTGATATGAAGCTATCCACTGGATAGGGACAAACTATACGCCGTTTGAAGGTGTTTGTTAGAATGGTTTTAAAATCTGACTCGTTTGAAGGTGTTTGATAGAATGGCTTTAAAATCTGACTCGTTTGAAGGTGTTTGTTAGAATGGCTTTAAAATCTGACTCGTTTGAAGGTGTTTGTTAGAATAGCTTTAAAATCTGACTCGTTTGAAGGTGTTTGTTAGAATAGCTTTAAAATCTGACTCGTTTGAAGGTGTTTGTTAGAATGGCTTTAAAATCTGACTCGTTTGAAGGTGTTTGTTAGAATAGCTTTAAAATCTGACTCGTTTGAAGGTGTTTGTTAGAATAGCTTTAAAATCTGACAAACCAGACAGTGTAAAGAGTACGATTCTGAAATTCTTTGTCACGCTTGAACATGCCTGATCACTGACCGAAACTATGAGGGTAAAAATAAAGACCATGACCTAAAATAAGAGTTAAATTGCGCAAAAACCAAATGAAAAACATGGATTGGACATATACTTACATTTATGTTTTATTTTAAAATATTTCTATTCGAATGCTCGATTGCTAGAATCAAGAAAGCATTTTTTGTTTTTAAAAAAGTTTCGCGTATGTGCGTTCAACGCTCCATTGTGAACTTTATGAAATAAATAAAAATTTAATTTAACAATCAGACTAAACACATGACTCAAACGTCAATGAATGTAGTCTAACCGCTTTTGAGTCTATATTCCTCCATCTTTATATCCCTCATTTTGAGGTAACTCGGAACTAGGTCAGCTCTCTCTCTCTCTCTCTCTCTCTCTCTCTCTCTCTCTCTCTCTCTCTCTCTCTCTCTCTCTCTCTCTATATATATATATATATATATATATATATATATATATATATATATATATATAATGTACACTGTTAAGAATAAAGATTGTTAAGTAGGATTATGTTTTACACACTCGTTCTATGCAAAGGTTACTGACGATATCGAGTTTAATGAACACGTCTTGTGTGTATGCACGAAATCAAGACTGGTAAAACCCAATCTGATGGTAATTACATACACTGCTTAGAGTTCAAAATGTGGCCTTATATATATATATATATATATATATATATATATATATATATATATATATATATATATATATATATATATATATATATATATATATAATCAACGTCCTTCCTCCCCAGCGGGCAGCGGTAAAATTATCAAACGTCGACCGGTCCGCAGCGACTAATAAAAGGTTGGGGA